TGTAAAAAAAAAAATTTCAGTGTACAGGATTTTGTGTTTAAATACGGATTTACTGCCCCAAAACCCATGGATTCCAATTTATAGCAACACGTAGATACATGTACAATTAATTTTAACTTGGATTTTCTGGATTAGAAATCGTCTTTCAACGAATCTCTCACGGTAAGTATCCGTTTTGTTAAAGCATAGGAGTTGGAACCGGGGGGGGGGGGGGCAAGAGAGGGGCTTAGCCCCCCTTACTTTTTTGCATAGATAGACGTAATATATGCATTAGAAATAGGGTGTTACCTTTTCTGTTGGATTAGCCCCCCCTTTCAATTTGCTTCCGACGCCTATGCACAGTTCTATCAAAAGCTTAAATAAGAGAAAGCTAAGCAGTCATTAAATATGACTGTTTTAATTTCAACGAAGGAATTTTGATCCATCATACTAGGCACGTAATTTTACGAAGAAGGGGGGGGGGGCTCCCTCCACTTCTTTCGAATTTTAAATTTTAACTGTTCATTATAACTGAGTACTAGTAAACATACAATTTACCCCCCCCCCCCCCGAGATTTTTGCTGCACCCGTCCCAGTATTTTTTCTTTGAAATATATGTAAAAGCGATTTATGTCTAAGTAACTGCAGCTTTTCATTTAATTCAAAGTAATCTGCTGTAGCTATTGAATTTATTTTTTGATTTGATGCAATCAGGTGTCAAAACTGTTAGATATTACTTTCTTCTGTCTGATCACGTATAATTTACTGTAAAGAAAAAAACAGAATGAATTTTAAAACAGTGTTTAATACATTTTTAGTATGGTGTTCATACTAGCTTACATATCATGCGCGATATCATGTATATTTCGGAAGATATTGTACATGCAATAACTTCCAAAATATACCTGATACCGCATGCCCTTAGCTCCACCTCCTCAACGGTATCAAGATTTAATGCACAGCGATCTTCAAACGAAAAACACCGCAACCATGATACAAGTGTAAATACGTTCGGTCATGACCATTCTAATTAGCACGTATTAATCAATTTTCGCTTTATTGACATTTCCATTAAAAGGAAAGGAAGAAGAGGGAGGATATAAGGACAGCCATGGAATACTTTAATTGTTTATCTTTACTTCGCCTCCTTTTTCTCCCGAGGAAACGTCTATCAATGATAGGAAAATTTTACTTTCCTCACCAATTTTAATTGTAAATGTACCTAACGCTTATATCAATCAACAAAAATGTCTATCTTTGAAAGTTGTAAATAAATCTCCATATTGTTTACTATTAATAGCTTATGTCAGTACCACATATAAACAATCATTGCTGTTTCTGAGGTCAGTATACTACGTATTTATTGACTAGGTTCGAGGGCAACATGCGTTTTTGTCGGACCCAAGATCGAAGCAAACTGTTTGTCAAAGGCCGAAATTTTAAATCTATTTTAATTGCAATTAAAAAATATCGGGCAAGTCTAAAGGATCCACTTTGACAGAGAGTACACACTGGTACAAGGGAAGCTGAAATTAGGAAGGAGAGGAATCAATTTTTTTCTCAACATATCTACAAAATCTACAAAGTATGTAGTCATAAACTTAGCAATTTTTCTGTACCGGGTTCCCGCTTAGTTAACTCACGAACAATCACCAGAATTTATAACAAAAAATTTAAAAGTCTGTATTTAGGACATAAGTTTGGTTTTTTTCGCAGTATTAAATGAAAGTAAACCCTTCCTGTATTTTATTCATCAATGTGTCATAAACAGACATTTATCTGTTCTTAGGCGATCGCCGTGATTATATCGATATTGACTGTCATCTCCGGAAAGATGGCAGATACAGTGTGTATTGTGACGTCATAACGAGTCAGTCTCACCAGGTGCCCGTATGTTGTCAGACAGTGTGTGTGTATGTAACAAGGACGTATATACTCACACTCAGACATCGTATAGTGTACACGGACGGATAATGCTGATAAGTCATCTTCTGTGGATTATCAGTACATCTTGTACTCACCGTCACTATCAGTGGGAAATTAGTACACTAACAAAAAGTACTCACATAAAAATTTCTTATGTGAGTACTAATAAAATAATTAGATACTTGGCATTACTATGATGAATTCTTAACCTCTTGTATAAATTATACCTCATTAGGCAGGGGGTAATATTTTTATTAAAAGAAAAATAAGTAACGTCAAGTGCCTATGTCCACTTTTCCATGCCATCAGTTTTAAGACTTTTAAAAACACTTTATACAACCGTTTCCCACGATAAATTAAAGTCCAGGATTTTTACTTCATAGAAAGCTGTTTTTTTTAAATAAAAATGAATCTCGCATGAATTTACGTACATTAATATATTGGCATTGGTCATTTTACAAATTAATTTTGTTAAAGCAATGTGAGGTTGATAATAAAAATCTCTGTAGTTTTTGGAAATAAGGACACCCAACAATCTCAGAATTTCCAAGGGTACCAACTTTACCCCGTTATCAACAGACCTATTTTTAAATTCATATGAAGCAAAATTTATTCAAAAACATCAGAAGAAGAAAAAAATATTTTATTTAGATATATCGACGACGAATTGTCAATTGAAAAAATAATCTTTACATAAGTCGACTCGATATATCCTAGTGAACTTGAAATAAAAGACACCAAAGATTCTGTCATCTATTTTATATTTGGATATTTGACTGGAAAAAAATGTTAATGATAATCTAACAACAAAACTTCAAACTATAAACATGATGACTTCAGCTTTTCAACTGTCAGCTTCCCTTATTTATGTAGCAATATTTACATCCACTGAATATTTTCTCCTTTATTTCTTAAGAAACCCCATTGCGTTCAGCACTGCATAAACTACAGTAGGCATGTCGCCTGTACAGATTTCTTAATTAGTGGCTGTTCCATCAATGAAACGTATAAGGACGTTCGCATCATTAATATAATAATTAATCTTTTTAATCCTACTTTAATTGATTATTTAAACAGATATTAATATAAACAATAAAATGTCTTTCTTTGTTTGTTGATACTGGAATGAACGGTCGCAGCTATTGCAGAAAAATTTACATAACCCGCTTACGCGGGTTATGTATTTTTTCTGCAACAGCTGCTTCCGTTCATTCCAGTATCAACAAACAAAGAAAGCATTTTATTGTTTAAATATACCCTTACTACCTGCACATGGGGTTTATGTGTCCAGATTGACTCGATACGCAATATTCTAACTAAGAACAATTTCCAAAAAGAAGCAAGTTATTGAAAAACAAGGTGATGAAACAAAGATATCAACAGTCTCATTTAAAGTAATCATTTTGCAAGTTCTACACTCATTATACATGTAATGACCTTTCAGCAAATGCAATCTGACATTAAGGCGAATGTTGAATGACTTTTATTTCCTTACAATTGTTGGTTTAATATTTTCAATTAATCGTCTACGGCTTTGTCAGTTTGCCCGATCATGACAAGAAGCACACGGCGGGTGTGACCGGCTATGATCAACAGAAGATGTTTACACCTCCATGGCAGCTGATCCTACTTTTGATATCTTTTAGTGGTCCGTTTTTGCTTTGCTTCAAATTTGAATATTGGTGCATATTTTGTTCCAACTTTCATTCTCACAATTACATTTAAATTTGTTCTGAGTCCAAAGGTACGTAGCGTCGGGTGGGGGAGTTGGGGGCTGTACACTTTTAAATGTTCATAGAAAGATTTGTAATCCCCTCCCTCATTTTTTAATTTGTTGCATTAGAGTCAAATCAGGGTAATGTGGTTAAGTTTACAATGTGAAATTAGTTTTGAAAGAAGGTGGAACTTGGACATCCCCTCTTCCAAATAGGATTTCAACATTTTTTGTCAAAGTTTTCTTTCCGGCTGCCCTCTCTCGAGATGAATGACAATGCATTTGCCTTCATTTCATATAAATTAAATACCTGTTGATTTTGAATGAGATTTGACATTTTTGTTTCATTTTAGCGCATATTTTGGGTAGAACAATAATGTCTGAAAATAATCTATTTTTAGCATTTCACACTGTTTTTGCACGTGCTCCTGTGCATAAATAAGCATATAAAGGTACTATTTTTAATACCTAAAACGTAAGAGCGAGTGGTCAGGAAAAAAATGTAAAAGTTTTGAAAGTTTCACACAAAGACTTTTCGGACATAGGTCCCCCCTTAAAAGCAATTCAGTAACTATACGTGCGTGATCGATATTCTGATGCACGTAAACTACAAAATGACACAAGTCCTTTTCAGTGAAAATAAAAAAGATAGATCCCTTTTTCAAAAACTCATACAGTGTAAGATTAAGTTAGCTATCTTGTAGCGGTTCATTAGTATCTAATAGTTAATTGACTATCGGACTTAATAGTAAGTTCAACATCGTATTAAAACCTTCCTGTTTGATGGGACTTGAGATTAAACTTCCGTAAGCTCCTTTCTGTTCAAATCTCGGATTTCAATATTTTTTTTTATACCACACACTATAAGCCTTGAAAATGTTGAATTTGTAAAAATTCCACCGAATAAAAAAATATTCTTATTTATTATAATAACTGTTATACATACTGAAATAATTACTTTGTTGTGTGCAGTATGTTATTTAATTAATAAAATTAATTCTTTCAGTGCTTGATAGATTATTATACAGTAGATATTTTAAAGAAAGTAGATATTTAAAATGCTTATCATAATTCATTAGGCTAGCTCACTATCGTTTGTGTTATTTGAACATTTTAAAAAATAAGACTTATTCTAGAACATTCTAGATTTTTCTATTGCGATCAAAGGTAGGTAACTCTCATGAATTTTACAACAAAGGAAGTCACTATAAATTGTATGGAGCAGCGTTAGGGGAATGAATAATATCAGGATTTTCTTTTTATTGCACAAGTCCTGTAACTTTCATCATTAGCATCAACACAAACAGAGAAAATACCAGTTACACTTACAAATCAAGACATACAAAGCACTATACAGACCGGAAATTCAAGTGTCTTTATGCATCGTTATTAACGATAGCCGTACCCCTAGTTATTTTTTTTGCAGGACCAATGCTCCGTCGTTAAACTTGTAAAATTCTAACGGAAAGAAACGCAGAATGAGCGGAACTAAGGTAAAAATCTATTTGTTTCTGTAATTAATTAATCAAGTAGTTTCAGTAGTAACAATACTCACGAACGAAACGTGCAAAAAACAAATGTGATAATGTATTGTATTTTTAGATCTACCTCCAAGGCTTCGACAGTGATAGCTATCTATAGGTCAATATCAGTAATAAAATAAATCATGTTTTAATTCAAATTTTATTTATTCTATTTCGATTTTATTATTATTTTGTTTCCAGTTATTAATTTATTTATATAATAAGATTAAGAGAAGGAAATAGTTCCCAAAGAGAGAGACAGAGAGAGAGAGAGAGAGAGTCCTTAAACTAAACTTTTCTTTTTTCTGTGAACAATAATTTCAGCTTTTCCCAGTAGTGTATATTTTATGAATTGAACATATTTTATTGAACAAAGTCAAAAGGATCGGACACAAGTTCAGTAAATTAGATAATCCTCCCCTAATATAACATTTTGTAAAATTTCCAAAATAAAAAAAAAACCAAATATATAAACATATGGTCTACTACATACCGGTACATAAACGTATATTGTATACATCGTAGCAATAGAAAGGGGGAAAAAATAAATTCTATAAATGTACAAATATAATTTGAAATAGTATGAAAAAAGTAAACTTATTTTGAAAAACGACCACATTCATTTAAGAAAGTTTAAATAGTCCTGAAAAGTTCAGCATTTTGTTCAATAGTAAGAAAATCATCGCCCCATAGCCTTAAATGCACATCTATAACATGTAAATAATTAAATGACAATAGCTCATTCATTAAGGAATTTCTTGCTTTTACATAATATTTACAAACCAAAAAAAAAAAAATAATATGCATCTTCTGGTAGTCCACAAGAACAATTAGGACTGGTTATTATATTAAAGCGATATAAGTCAGATTTTAAAATACAATTATGTCTTAATCCTGTATGAATTGTGTTCAAGAACCTTTTCCATAAGAAAAATATTTCGGAGATTTTACATTACTTTTTAGCAGATAGTTCTAAAAAAGAAAGAGGGCGTATAAGGCGTGGACAATCCCGCGCTCTGAGACAAAATTTTTCTCAATTTTCAAAATTCACAGAAGTTTTATTTTTCTAAAATCATGTTCTCAGTAATCTCATCTTCAAAACATTTTATCATTTTAATTTACTGAACGACCTATTATTTGTTTTATTTTAAAGTTGATAGTTAAGGTCTTCCGCTCAGGCGGAAGACCTTCTACTGATTCTGATGGTTAAGATTATTCCCTATTATTCTTTTTTTTTCCTAGACGCCAACTTTGAGACCTCGTAACTCGCTCATTTCTGAACAGATTTCGCTCAAATTTTCAGAGTTTTTGGAAGTTACAAAACTCAATTAAAATGTTTTCATACATTTCAAAAATTCCCTTCCGCTTTCGAGTTATTTCCCTTTAAGTGAAAATTTGGTACTGTTCGTTTCCAGACAAAGGCTCAGAAACGACAAAAGCTGGAGCAGAATGTCTACTGCATTTAAATACTAGAAGAATTGAAGTTGTGCCTATCGGTTTTTCTTTTTCGATTTCTGCGCTCCAAACGGTGCTAGATAGGGGTCAAAAATGAGAATGCCCAAAAGCGCCAAATTTTACACATATTTCCTTGTATATCTTTTAAACTAAAAATAATTTGTTAAGACATATTTCACAAATATTGTGCATAATTTTAAGATCTATCATTTGACATCATTAAAAAGGGGCTGGCCCCTCAAATAAGGGGTCAAGGGCGCTCGAAAGTTTTTGCTTTATAACTCAAAAACGGTAAATATTTGGATATGGTTATTGATTTGAAATGGGTTCTTTAACATCTTACTGATCTCATGAAAACGTTATTTTGTTCGAATCTTGTGTTATTGAATGAGCAGCATACTTTATGTACAGGTAACTGATTAGTTTTATACGGCAAGTGAAGAATTCTTTATGCGTACGCGTATAACACGTATAGCTGAAATAAACTGGATAAAAATATATACTTAACTAAACTGAATGTTAAACTTTGTTGAAATAAAGTTTTTAACGTATTCTCTAGCTAGATGTCATACAGATTATTCAGAGACAACTTTCTCCTTGTATTTAGTTTGAATTACAAAACGGGAGATAGGAAAAATACTTATCATCTCTCATTCGATTGATACTCAATGTTGCATTATTTATAAATAAAAGAAAAAATAAGCTTAAAATAATTCACTGTCATTTTATTCAGGCATCGTGAATTTTCCTCGGACCTTGACTGCTTTGTTTACAGTTGTGCAACCTGTTTATCGATCGCACATGCATTGACCTATATACATTCCGTAGGTCAACATTACCGCTCTTTGATTTTTACGCGAGTCCTAGAGTTATCTAAAGCGATGCTAGTCATCGATTTACTCAGTTTAAAATCAAGAATTTGTTATTTGCGTAAATCGTAAGAATATTTCTAGACACAAATATATAGGTTTTCTTGAACATGTACGAGTATTAAAAGATAAAATGTCTGATTCTATTCTTTGACGAATGAATAAAAGGCGCTGCGATTTTGCTCAGGTACAGATGATTTCTCTGGACGAGTCCATTGGTTACACTGAAAGGTGACGCAGGATGACCTATCGATAACTCTGCCAATTTTGATAGAGATTGTAATTGCACATGTACATAAATTAATGTTGAATTTTACCCTTGTGAAGTCCATTATAGTTTCGTTATTTAAAGAATCGAGGATATCACTACTGCAACTTAATTGTTTTTAATTTGAACGGATGATTCTATATTATTGGAAAGGTACACATTTTTTTAGGCGCCGTCGTCTCCCTCTCAACTTTGAAGTAATTGCAATCGTTATATGTATACGGGCCTATATCAAGTAATTCTAATTGTTGCTTAATTTATTTCAGAAAAAATTGCGATGTTGTTAAAAGTAGCAATTACAATTAAACATGACAAATGCACACAGTAAATTGTAAGTGGAAGTGACGTTTTCAATTCTTATGAAAATCGAAAATATTTTTCCGCATGATATGCTCATAAATTTCTTTGATTTCCTCAAATAAAAAGCTAGAATATCACAATGACACGATTTTATGTGCATGTACATAATATTAACTAAACTACATGCTGTTTTACACAGAAGAGCACTAAACATGAGCTTTAAGAATACGAGAAAAAAAAGAATAATTAGAAATTCTTCTAACAAATGCAAAATTTCTTCCTGTAATTTCATACAAATATTCCAAGCCTTTCTTTCGTGTTTATTGGACTAAAAGAGATTAAATTATTAAATTTCCTCTCACTGCGATACGTAACCCCCCTGAAATGATACAATGCTTTCCTTCAGAGTCGACAATGGCAGGCCAGGGCTGGTGATGAAATCCATGATTACTCCATAACCTATTATAATATTAACCAAAAAATCATACACGATATTGTTAATTCGCAGGTTGTCAAATAAATTTAAGAAAAGGTCGGCAAAGATGAGTATGCCTAACTAAACTTTTTTATTTATAAACCTTTTACTTTCTAGAGTGTACAATCGAGCATCGAAGTGTGTAATGTACTATATGTACTAGTTTTTTTTTTTTTGGGGGGGGGGGGGGGTACCAGTTTTCGCTGCATTTGATATCCTGAATTTTGCATTGCATTTCTGACAATTAAACAAAGTTAATAGAATATAATTGGTGACAGTAACACAAGTGATTTATAAAACGAAAGTCAAGCAATAAAACGTGAAAGTTTGTATTTTGAAAAATAAATCAAGTCAAGTCACATAAAACAAAGACAGGTTGAAACGCTCACACATGGACATACATACAAACGTTTAGGTAACTCGGAATAGTCCAGAGTAGAACAATATTTTCTTGAAGACGGAATGTCCAGTACATCTAATGTTCACGACCGGGATAGTTCACGGCAGTTTCATCACACATACGCAATTATCATACAAGTCGAACGCTCTTTGAGGTTCAGGATTGACACTAACTCCTTAGATAAATACTGAGTATCAATGTCCTTTTTACTGTCTTAACTTAACTTGATAGGTAAATAATTTTAGCATATGTTAAAAATAAGCATTAGAAATAATTCTTTTCATAAAATTCAATTCTGTTACACATCAAATGAATTTGTAAAGTTAACTTTATGACAATTGTCATGCTGCAGATCTGTAGCTCGCTAGCTGTTCTATATAAAAAGAATTGAGATGGATCACCAGAGAGCTACAGTGCCATCCATATTATCTCAAGTTCAGGCTCAGAAGGACAATTAAAAACGGTTGTAAAGAATGTTTAACTGTAGAAAAGTTTAAGGAATGTGTTAGAGACACACGGTAAATAATATTTTTAGATTCAAGCAGTTGAAAAACACGGATTTGAATATAGCTTCAGTGCAATATTTTTCTAATATTTTCTAGTTTTTTTTATTCTTCGTATTTCTCAATTCATCATGTTTAAATAACGTGTATTTATTTTTATTAGGACACATTAAACCTTATTTGTCAACCAGTCTGACAGTGTCCATCTGTCACGAGAACTTTAAACTTGATAATAACTATTGAATGAGTTGAAATAGGACTTTCATATTTCACATGTGCATTATTTGTGACATGTAATTTTCAAATATACTGTGATTTTTAACCCCGTGACCTTGATCTTGGAGCTTGACCTACTTAAAAAATAACAATACTTTAAATTGACAATAACTATTGAAAACTTTCATTTTATAAACATGTACATGTAATACCTGTGTCAACGCCTTTGAAAATTCATTATGATTTTTGACCCTTTGACCTTGAAGTTTGACCCACTTTTCAAAAACATTAACCATAGTTATACCTTTTGAGAGAAAAGAGATCGATTAGGGCTTTTATTTTACCACTGTGTATTACCTGTACCAACATTTTTTTAAAATACCGATACGCTGATTTTGACAACGTGACCTTGAGGCTTGACTTACTTTTCACAATTTTAATCTTGATCATAACTTTTGAATGAGAAGAGATAGGGTATTCGTAT